GCTGGTCCATGCGGCGCTCCGCAGCAACGCTGCGCCAGTCAGCGGCGGGGCCACCTGGAAGAATTAGTATCAGAGCGTGAAATACCTACCCCGCTTTCGCTTCCAGGCAAAACCAAGTCATACCACGCGCCTCCTCGTCAAGCGGCCTGACCAGCGCAGGCCGTAGTTCGGCATCGTTTGGTATCTCTTGGAAGCGAGGGTGGTCAAAAGCGAGGTAGGTTTGTTTTCCCCCTAAGACAAGGGATGTGGGATGTGCGCTTCCCGGAGAAGGACTCGGGCGGCGATCGCGGTGACCCTTCCCGGGTACTCGGAGCTCCGAGCTGCGAGGCCGTGGCCGGGCAGCTGCCGCCGAGGCAACATCGGGAGCCTTGAGACGGGGGTCAACGCAAAAGGGGGTCAGCCAGAGCGCCCCGACCTTGCAGGATCCTGCAGGGCCAGGGTCGCATTGACCCGGGTTTGGGTGCAGGATCCTGCAGGATCTTGCAGGATCCTTCGCATTGACCCGGGTTTGGGTGCAGGATCTTGCAGGATTCTGCAAGGCCTGACTGACCCGGGTCTGGATTGACCCGGGTCAGAGGACCCCCGACAACACAGCGGGCACCCGTCCGCCTCCGGTTCCATCCGATTACATTTCAGTCGGGCGCGTCCCTCTACAGGATATTTATATATATATATATATATATAGAGGAATATACACATTCGAAGAAACAACAGCAGTAAAACACCGCGACATGATTTGAGACTGTTTCTGAGGGTTTGGAATATTTTCTCACTTGTTTTGTTTTTCGTCCAACATCCGCCTGCACGAGGACCTGCCCGACCTAAGGTTATATTCCCCTCGCCCTTCCTCTGGCCCGCGGCCCGCGCCCAGGACGACCTCGTCCCCATGGATGTTACTTTTCGTCCCAAATCCGCCCGTACAAAGACCTGCCCGACCTAAGATTCGATTCCCTCCGCCCTTCCTCTGGCCCGTGGCTCGCGCCCAGGACGACCTCGTCCCCATGGATGTTATTTGTCGTCCCAAATCCGCCCGTACAAAGACCTGCCCGACCTAAGATTCGATTCCCTCCGCCCTTCCTCTGGCCCGTGGCTCGCGCCCAGGACGACCTCGTCCCCATGGATGTTATTTGTCGTCCCAAATCCGCCCGTACAAAGACCTGCCCGACCTAAGATTCGATTCCCTCCGCCCTTCCTCTGGCCCGTGGCTCGCGCCCAGGACGACCTCGTCCCCATGGATGTTATTTGTCGTCCCAAATCCGCCCGTACAAAGACCTGCCCGACCTAAGATTCGATTCCCTCCGCCCCTTCCTCTGGCCCGTGGCCCGCGCCCAGTCAGGAGCGACAGAAGGACGTACACGCACATGAATCCACGCTGGTTTCGAAAGCACGCATTGCGCAAATGTTCGTAGAACGCGGCCGGTCTCGCGGATCTGAGGGCCGTGCTCATGTACATAGCTGGGCGCGTACGTCCTTTGTGGGCTCCCTACCCAGGACGACCTCGTCCCCATGGACCGCCTCGGCGCGGAGCTCTTCGGGGAGATGCTGCGCGTGGCCGCGGGCGGGCGCTCCGCGGGCGAGCTGGCGGGCCACTCGCAGGCGGCCCCCCCTTGCCCTCCACGGCTCCGTCGCCTGCGCCCGAGAGCACTTCTCAAGATGACTCGACCAATACGAATAGTTTCGCGATTCTAGATCGGGCAGCAGACCGAGTTCAGAGCTCTGGATTCGACAGACACACGCAACTGATGATTCTAAATCGGTTTCTGTAAATATCAGATCTGTAACTGTCCTACAGCTCGAGTTAAGTACAGAAACCCCCCCTCGTTCTCCACCCCCCTCTTCTCGGACCCTCTCGCGTCGTGGCAAGAGAAAGAAGCATACTGTTATGTCGGGCGTGTCCCCCTACAGGGGGGATTTTCGACGACAAACAAAAAGTACCCCAAAAATGCACCAAAAAGGTCCAACAATACTCAACAAAATAGTCCCCAGACTTTTTTTTGATTATTGTTAGACTATTTTTGGGGTATTTTTTATTTTTCGTCGAAAATCCCCCTGTAGGGGGACAGGCCCGACTTACGCATAATATAATGTTTTTTGTTTCTCAGTTTTCGGCCTCTGGGGGCCCTTGCCGCCTTCCCAAGCGGCGCTGAGGCGAGAGCCACATTTTGAACACAACCCACCGTCAATCTGCGCGGCGCCAAGGCGCAGGGCCACATGTTGAAAACCACCCGCCCTCTTTTGCAAAACTGCTGTAAGTTTAAGCATCAGGGTCACAGGTAGTGAGGAAGTCTTCTCAGGCAAAACGCCTAGCCCGCCCTGTCGACCAGCTTCGGGGTGCGGCATGGAGGAGGTATTTATACGGAAAACGAATGGAAGAGGAGGAGGAGGAGGAGGAGGAGGAGGAGGTGGAGACGGAGACGGAGTAAAGGGAGGAGGACCTGGGCATGGAGAAAGCGCCGTATGGTGAGCCAGTGGAGGGAGGAGGCGGTGGAGGCAGAGGATGAGCACTGGCTCTAAGTAGTATCCCTGTGGATGGGCTTGCCTTGGGGCGTGGCCGACCTGGAAAGGGGAACCGGCACATGGTGAGGACGACGCGTTCCTCGAGCATGATGGTTAATACGTTGGCTGTGGTGGTAAAGATTACGATTGATATGATGAGTGTGGGGGTGATGATGTGGAGAGTAAAGGTGATGATGGTGCTGATGCTGCTAATAATGGTGATGGGGATGATGCAGCATGAGGTGGCTGCGATGGCGTTGTGACGCAGGATGCCGGTCATACTGATCGATGATGGGGAGGATGATCAGGAGGGTTTTGTGATTGTTCTTTCGGATGGGGGGATCGCAGGTGCGGTCCTGGAGCTGGAGGAGACGCAAGAGGAGGAGGATCAGGATGAGGACCAGGCCGAAGAGGACGAACGGGGAGGAAAAGGATGCAGAAGGAAGAGAGGGAAGGAGGGGGGGGGCGATATCGCCACTCCCTGGGCTTCTTATGGGGTGCGCTCTGACCAGGGTTTCGAGGAGAATGCGGCCGTGGTGACGAGGGCTCTCCAAAACGAGCAGCGGTATCGGTATCTGTTCCTCCCCGGATCCTCGTCCTCCGTCCCCCCCCCGCGCGTCCGTCGTAGGAAGAGCACCTTTGGAACTCTGGACCCCACTTTCCTGCGGCACTGTGGCAAGCCGGGTCTACTTGTGCTGGTTCTGGGGCCCAGACCCAGGCGAAAACGCCTGGTGTGAGACAAGTGCAACTTCTGGATCGCAGAGAACGTTCCCGTCCCCCTCCTAGGCCTAGATGGGGTCGGAGTAGATGGAGTCGGAGGATCGCGACGCATCGCCGATGCATCGGCGATGAGGCTCGATGTGGATCCCAATTCTCTCCACGCCAACGTCGCAGATGCATCGCCGATTTTGCCGATGCATCGGCCATGCATCGCCGATGCATTGGCGATGCGGCGCGATCCTCCAAGCCTGTCTACTCGGACCCCATCCAGAAGACCTCTATACACGAAAACAGATGAGAAGGACGGGTGACCTTCCTAATGGTATTCTTGCATCCGTGCCTCTTCGGTCCATCCTGAACCACCTCCGATGGCCCGCCTCGCTCGAGAAAACTCCAGCACGGGCGTCCAAGAGGCCTGCTCCCTTGTCGCGCACGCGTACCAACATTTTTGATGGCGCCCGGGCCTCATCCAGAGCCTTCTATCTGCTTCTCCTCTCCTCACCACCCACCAAACCACCCCAACCCAACCCGAAGGCTCAGACTTACCCTCGATTTCCAGTGTGGGGGGGGGGGTCGGGAAACATCGACAAAAACACACGTGGAACCCTTGCCCCCCCCCCCAACCCGAAATTCGGGTCTTCGGGTTGGGTTGGGGTGGTCTGGTAGGTAGTCATCCCCGCTTCCGCCTCGGATCTCCGCCTGGCGCGAGCGGGGGACCTGGCATCGCTCGGACGTGTGCATTTTCTCTTCGGCGAGGACCATCGAGGAGCATCCTTGATCATTTGGCGAAAAAGCCACGCACGAAACCGAACAAAAACACAGGGAATGGACGTCCGAGCGATGGCGAGGGGAGCGCCGCGCAGGTCTCCATCTGGCGCGAGTGGGCGCAGGACGGGCCCGTGGCGGACCCGTCGTCCCTGCGGCTGGGCGAGCGGGAGGGCCAGCCGCTCGCGCTGCCCGGCCCGGGGGCGCTGTCAGACCTGGACGCCACCGGGGGCCTGGCATCGCTCGGACGTGTGCGTTTTTTCCTCGGCGAGGACCATCGAGGAGCATCCTTGATCATTACGCACGAGACCGAAAAAAACACAGGGAATGGACGTCCGAACGATGGCGAGGGGGGGAAACAGGTGAGGAACAGAGGCCGGTACTCGTCATGCAGCGTGTTGCTGTAAGAAGAAGGAAGGGAGGACTGAGAGGGCAATCCGCATTGTCTGCGTCTGTCGTACGCTGCTCTCCTTCCCCCCTCTACCCCTGCACAGGCATCTTCTTGAAGTTTCTACGCAGCCGTGGATCCAGAGGCATATCATGTGTTTGACTACTGGACTGCATGGCCCTTTCGGGGCCTAGCGTGGCGCACGAGTGCTCGAGGCAGGTCGCTTTCCAGCCACTGCCCGTTCCAGCAGCTGCTGGAGCCGGCGCTCCAATTGGGCGGAAGCGGTCAGATTCTTCGAGGAGTTTCTGCGGCGGCTCCCAGCGAATGGTCCATGGGCGCTCCCGGGGGCGCTCGCCGACGCGGCGGCCTTCGCCGCGAAACCCAGGCCCCGAGGCCCGCGCCGAGGCGATTCGAGCCGCGGCAGCACCTGGATGCTGGTGGGGGCCTGAAATCTTGTCATTCTGGAGAACCGCGAAACAAGCGCCATCTTGGACGCAGATTACGCCATTCTGCGCGTTGTGGGCTGGCAGGGAGCGGCTTGCCCAAGCCGCCGCGCCCGTGCATGCAGTCGTATACAATCGGAGCGATGTTAGTTCGAAGACCAAAGCGATCAGAAGAGGCGGCCATCTCAAAGTGAGATATACAAAACTGTGCACTCAATGCCGCCCGCGCGCGCGCGCTCCAGCCGCCGTGCGTGCGCATCTAGTTTTACATAATAGGGTAATACGGGCGTTGTTAAATCGAAAAACCAATGGTGAATACCCAGCAGAGGCTGACGACGAACAGCGCCGACGAACGAACAGCGCCTGCGCCAGTGGCTTGCCAGGCACAGCCCAGCGGGCTCCGAGGCGCTGCAGACGCAGGTGCTAGAATGATTCAACTCCACGTGCGCCACCAGCACCCACTGGCAGTTGGCAGCGTTACCGATGGCTCTGGTGCTCCAGTTTTTCACAGCTGGCATTCAGTCGGGCATGTCCCTCTACAGGAGGAATCTTCGAAACTTGCCAAATAATACGGGGACGAATGTCCTAATTCAGGAGGGGAAAAAACACACAGACACAATTAATCGGCGATTCCCAGAAAATATAGGAAAATATGGGAAGTGGGGGGGAACACAGAAACCCAGAAAATATGGGAAAATATGGGGGATATTTTTATTTGTGTGTATTTATTTGTGTGTCCTAATTTCCCTTTACTAATATGTTTTGACAATGCTTGATGCGTGGGCCCGCCCATGCTCCGTGGAGCCGCGCCGGTTCAGGGCTGGCCAGGTCTTCCACAGGCCGCGGCAAACCGTGGGATTGCAGACGCGCTTGTGATTGCTATTGTTCGGGGCGCAACGGAATTCAGAAACGTGGGAATACTCGCCGCTGGCGAGCCAAACTGGGGCGTCTCCGCTCTCGTCTCGGCGTCGCGAGGGGGCCGCTCCCGCGCGGGTGGAGGCGCGAATCTCTGGGGGACAAACAGCTCGACGCAGCCGGGCCCATGCAACGGGCATCCGCCGTTTTCAGCGACGAAGCGCCCGCGTGGGGTTTTCGCTGAAGGTGGTGGCGACCAGGGTCCAGCATGCGTGAATCGTTGCTGTCGGTGGGTCGTGAAAGTATGTCGCGTGTAACCAGAGCGAACAGCCGGCCCGGTCATCGCGCGTGGTCTGATGTGTTTGAGAAGGAAGAATGCGTGGCGTCGGACTGCAAACTTGAGACGGTCGACGCTCGCGCGAGCGCTGGCCCCGGAGACCTGCCAGCGGCGTCGCAGTTTCGAAAGAAGACCATGGCCGTCGGCTCGCGCGCCATCTCGGGGGCGCATTTGCCGGGCGAGCGCGCGCGACGGCGTGCGCTGCCAGCGACGGATATCGAGCCGCGCGGCGGGCGCGCGGTCGCGGGCAGCGTTCCGCGGCGCCGCGAACGCGCGTGCGCGTTGTCCTGCGTGGGGGCGAGGCGTCCTGCATTCTGTCCTGTATTCACCAGCCCCGATGCGCTGTGAAAGTATATCAGGCATGGCCGTCGCGCGCCCCGCTTCCTGCGGATGCCGACGGATTGGTGCGCTTTTGAGTTTAACATGTGCGGCGAGGGTTCTGGAAATCCGCGCCTGCCGTCGAGCCTCGCATAGGCTTGCAGGCCGGAGACTTTCGGGGGCCCATCGAGCCCTGCGCGGCGCGCGGGGGCAGGGAGTTCGCGGCCGCGCTGGCGCGCTGAAGATCGTTTCTCCTCTCTGGGTCCCAGGCGAAGGGCTGCCCCTGCAGAGCGTTGGGTCGCGCTCCGAAGTGCGCTGTCTGAGCGGGGCAGCTGAGGCTCCTCCTCCTCCTCCTCCTCCTCCTCCTCCTCCGCCTCCTCCTCCTCCTCCCCCTCCTCCTCCTCCTCCTCCTCCTCCCCCTCCTCCTCCTCCTCCTCCTCCTCCTCCTCCTCCTCCTCCTCCTCCTCCTCCTCCTCCTCCTCACTCCTCCTCCTCCTCCGACGGGAGTGCCGCCGCGCGGCGTTTGGCGGGCCAATGCGCGCGCGCGCCGATGGTTGAGGAATTGTCGTCGAGCGTGCAATGTAGCTGTGTGGCTCGCTGTTCCCGTGGTCTCCGCCCGTCTTTGTCCGGCGCCTCCGGCGGCGCGCGGCGGCGGCGGGTCCGGCGGGGCGCGGGCCGGGCGGCCGCGCGCTGAGGCGAGGGGTTCCATGACTCAGGGGGCTTCCCAGCGGCTTCGCTGAAAGCCGGATATTGGGACACTGGACAAGCGCAGTCAGTGCGCGGTGCCCACCCGTGGGAGGACCGGGCCGAATCATCTACCATCTCGAGGTCAGTCGTGGAGCGTGCGACGAAAAGTGACTGCCTTCCTTTCTGCCTGCTCTGCTTCCTTCTTTCCCCAACGCTGCTGCGCGATAGTTGCGTCGTCCTTCATCGCCGTTTTGCCTCTCCCCCCTCCAGCGCGCAACGTGGAGATCGCCGCGAATGGCGAGTGTTCGCGATCGCCGCGATGGGCGGTGACGCAAGCAGTCGCGAGTTCGAGAGTTCCGTGCTGATGCCGACCGAAATGCTACTCTTGCGAAGGTTTTTGCCAGTTCCACATTCGAGGGTCCGTTCTGCGAGGGGCGATCCGTTTCCCGAGGCGCAGGAAGAGGAAGAGGGGGGGGACAAAGCGGAAGTGGGGGATGGAAGCGGGGGAGGGCCAGGGCAAACCCAGGACCCCACCCCCCGCAACTTTCATATTTTATCGGCCTCGTGCAAGGGTTGATTTGTTTACGGAAGTGATCCGTTGGAAAACACCGTTTGAGCATCTTCAGGTGGAGGACGGTGTGGAGGTGGGGGATGAATGATGTGTTCGGGGGATGTATCAGAAGGATGGGACGGATGAGGAGATTTAGCAGGATGTCCGGCATGTGGCCGCTGTTCGGCCTGGATGTCAGTCTCGTCGTGCCAAATGGGATCCGACTGGACGGGTTCGGAGGATCGCGCCGCATCGCCGATACATCGCCGATGCGTCGGCGATTTCGATGTGGGGCCCAATTTCCTCCATGCCAGCGGTGCCGTTGCATCGTGCGTCGGCAATGCGCCGCAGATGCATTAACGATGCGGCGCGATCGTCCACCCCTATTCGTCGGGGCCCCGCCTTGGAGGCCAATCATCAGGGAACGGGGGGAATTCGGGTGCGGAAAAAATACGAAATGTTTTTGTGTGTAATTTGCGGTGTGTATGTGTTGTTTGGTTTGCCGTACTTTTGCTTTGTGGGCTTCTTGCGGCCCTTCGCCGCCGCGGCGGGATTTCCCCCTCGAGATTCCACCGGTTTGCACCACATCCGCGGACCACCTCGGATTTTTCAGGGGGGAAAAAAGCGAGACAACGACACAATTAATCGTCGATTCCCCAGAACATGTGGGAACATATGGAAATGGGGAGAAGACAAAAAAACACATAGACCCTATGGGAACATGTGGGGAATCGTGTTACTTGTGTCTATCTATTTGTGTGTCCCAGGGCCCGTTCAGTTCTACACCTTAGGCGATGCTTAAGAAAACTTAAGTTTTCGGCCAGAGTCTCGATTATTCTTAATGTTTCAATGTAAATCCTAAGATTTGAATGGGAATGTTGGGTTGTTATTCAAGTTCTGAGACTATGAATTTCTTAACCCATGATTTCTTAAGCATTTCGCAGGGTGTACCAGTTTGCACCACATCTGCAGACCCCCTCTTGGATTTTGTCGGAGGCCTTACAGCGAAGGGCCCTCGGCCCGTCTCGCCACCGTTTGTGGGCCTCTTGGGGCAGCGTCCTCGGGGGTGCTGCTTGGGGTTCGGAGCGCTCTCGAATGCACTTCGGGGGGGGGGGGGGGCAGTTTTGGAGTCGCTCGGCAGCATTTTGGGGGGCCTTTTTGGGAGTCTTCTGGGGGGCCTCTTTGGGGCCTCCTGGGGCCTCTTGGGGACCTCTTTCGGGCCTCTCGCGACGCCCCCTGGGAGCTTCTCTCGAAACCGAGAGCCCGGAATGCCCGTTCGGGTCCCCCGCCCGAGCCCCCATCCTGGAGCAGTCTTGGGGCCGTCGTGGGCCGTCCTGGCGGGCCTCGTGGGTGGGAGGCCCCCGTCGCCGTGGCCAGAGTCCCCCATGATAGTCATGATGCACCACGAGAGAGGTCCAGGGAGTGACGGTGCAGTTTTTTGTTGTTGTTGTTGTTGTTGAACATTATTTCTTCTTAAGAATAATTATTGTTGGGACCCCTGGTGCGCGACCTCTGCGCCGCGCCTAGGCCGCAGCTACATTTTCATCATTTTTCTGCGAAAGCTTCAGAAAAGTGGATTATTACCGGATCCGGTTTTTTGTTGACGCTCGTTTTCCCTTGCAAAAAACAATAGAAAATGAAAATTCTTGTTCTTAGTTGATCAAATTTCAAGAATCCCTTGCAAAAAATAAGGTAAAGTGGACATTCGCGCGCGCAAGACGAAATCCTTCCAAAACCTTAGGTTTCGTAACGATTTTAACATAAAAACATCAAAAACCCAATGGTTTTTTAAGAAAAAATTGTCAAAATGTCCTTCCGCGCGCGCTGTCCGAATCCCACAAAACCAATGGTTTTTCAACATTTATGTTACATGAGCTCGCGCGAGCTACTTTTTCTTGTTCTAACATAATCAAATTTCAATAATCCCTTGCAAAAAATAAGGTAAAGTGGACATTCGCGCGCGCAAGACGAAATCCTTCCAGAACCTTAGGTTTCGTAACGATTTCAACATAAAAACATCAAAAACCCAATGGTTTTTCAAAAAAAAATGTCCAAATTTCATCCCGCGCGCGCTGTCCGACTCCCACAAAACCAATGGTTTTCAACATTTATGTTACATGAGCTCGCGCGACCTACTTTTTTTGTTCTAACATAATCAATATTCCCTTGCAAAAAAAAGTAAAGTGGACATTCGCGCGCGCAAGACCAACAAAAAACACGACGATCTCAGGAACTTGCCCCAAAAATGTGACCAACTCCGCTCTCTCTGTCTCTCTCTCTGTCTGCTCTCTGTCTCTCTCTCTGTCTGTCTGTGTCATGTATTGTATGTCACAATTGCAGGATGCTGGGCACACGCGCGCCCCGAATAAGTGACCAAGTTCTGTGGGTGTGTACCCCACGCCAGTGTAGTAGCCACGGTCGTCCGCACGCCACGAAGTGAA